ATGTGAGCTTGTAGGCAGGCATTTGGTAGTAGTTATATATCATTGTAGAGTTCTCAAATAATAATCTCAAATAATAGTGTTAACAAAGCCAAGATCATGGGATTGATTTGAATGCATGAACTTGATGAAATGTATACCTTGCGATGTGATTCGCTTTGGATAAAAGCATCTGCCAAATGCATAAATGTAATCTAATGTTAAATGGGCTGGCTGCCCAAAGGTAACAGGTTATATCCTCATAGAGTTGATACTGTATATACAGAGATTTCCTTTCAGTAGTGCACCCTTGAGCAAAATATTTCATCCAAGGCTACTACAAGGGAACTGTCTCTGAAATAAATGTGCTGTAAGTCACTGTGGCTAAAGGCATCTGCTAAATAACGAGTAACCATTGCGCAATGAAGCTAAGCCAAGGCACTGTTGAATTCTGTTGAAGTGCTGAGGTATTGTGTCAAATAGTGCTGTTATATATCAAGTGTAAATGGCCAGGCACAGACTATGTAATGCAAATGTAGGCTTTCTGCAATGTCTCGAATAGCATTTTTTGCCACTTTTTAAAGACCGGTATTTGATGAAATGTATATCTCCATGTCGTTAGTTAGATTCTGCGTTCTATATACTGTAGCAAACAGAAACAACAACACAGAGCATCGCTAAAATCCCCAAACATTTGGACAGTTATCAAGTCCAGACTATTGCTGTCAATGCAAATATGGCAGCCAAAACCGAGGAGCTTTGGCTCTAAAATGCAAAACATGCAATGGCACTGTTTAAAAACTTTGGTGGTACGCAGATTCAGCATAACATGGGCTACAAAGCCAAACAGCAGGGTGGAACTCAAAGTGCTCACCACAGCAATTATGATGAGTTCTCTGCCAAGCACAGAGAGACAGAGGAACTGTGTTATCACAAAATGATATGGCAAAAAAACTGATACTCTAAACAAGAGATGCTCAAATTAGGGCCCGTAGGCCAAAGTCTGATAGTCTTTTTTTGTTTTGTTTTTTTTTCAACAAATTTGCCTCTAATAAAGTTTTATCAAAAGCTATCAAGAGTGCTTGATTACCAAGGAGGCAACAGTGTCATTGAAGAGCATGAGATAAAATATGAGGCATGTGAAAAGAAAACAAAGAAAAATCATGGTAAATATCACACTTGAATAGAATGTTTGGTCACACTTTACTATGTGTTTTTTTATGTTGGTACGTATGTATGAACACTGTGTACTGTATTGTGTTCATGATGTATGGCAAAATACTGTTGAGATGGGATATGGATAAGATTATGGACAGGTTTCATGCTATGGTTGAGTTTAAAGGTGGGTTAAGGGGTAAGGGAAGGGTCAGTATTGTAATTATAAATGTAGTAACAGTATTTTATTTAAATATACAATATGTGCAATTTAAAAACATGTATATACACAATGAGTGCATTATATCAAGTAATTGAAATGGTAGTGCATAATAGTTAAAGACTATTATGGAACTAATAACTACTACTATACTACTATAGACTATTCATGGAACTGAGAGCCTCAGTAAAGCGTGATTAGAATAGGCATGTTTTGATTATTTACTTACAATCCTGGCATGTTTGTACTCTCATCAGGATACAGATTCAGACATCCAACATGGAGAACATATTTTCAACTCAACAAGGCTTGTTATACATTAGAGGTCCTTGAAATTTAAGGTGACAACAGAACCCCCTTTATGATGAAATAAAGAATATTTGTATAGGAGTAGTTTTTGTAAATGTGGTTTCAATGTTAATTTGCCTCCACACTTCAGACACATGATGGACACAGCTTCAGTTAATGAAGTTACTTTTCTGTAAGGACGGTAATGGGTTGAGAAACAGGACAACATAAACACTCTTTCTCCTGTATTTTGTGCAAAGAGCCAAACACAAAATCCACAGTTAATGAATTGAAACATGTCTTTCCCTAGGTAAAGATGGCACTAGACTGACAGACACAGAGATGCCTCAGTCTGCTGATCCCACAGGTATTGATGGTCGTTACATCAGTGTGAAAGACCTTGGGGTCAAAGGTCAAGTAGAACGGCCTGTCTCTGAGCTCAGCAGTCCTCTGGACAGGACTGAGGCTGAGAGCAACAAAGGCAAGAAGAGACGGAACCGCACCACCTTCACCAGCTATCAGCTGGAGGAGCTGGAGAAGGTTTTCCAGAAGACACATTACCCTGATGTCTATGCTCGAGAACAACTAGCACTCAGGACAGACCTCACAGAAGCAAGGGTGCAGGTAGGCCTGGTCAGCCATCCTTGTAAGAATTCGATATATGTGAGCCTGGACCACAAAACCAGTCTTAAGTCGCTGGGGTATATTTGTAGCAATAGCCAAAAAAAAACATTGTATGGGTCAAAATTATCGATTTTTCTTTTATGCCAAAAATCATTAGGATACTATGTAAAGATCATGTTCCATGAAGTTATTTTGTAAATTTCCTACCGTAAATATATCAAAACTTAATTTTTGATTAGCAATATGCATTGCTAAGAACTTAATTTGGACAACTTTAAAGACGATTTTCTCAACTGTATAACAACATTTGAGACAAGCACCATATCATAATAAATATAAAGAGATGGTGGTCTATCCTATTTAATTAATCTGGTGGTCTAACTTTAAAGACGATTTTCTCAATATTTTGATTTTTTTTTTTTTTATTGACCCTTATAACTAGTTTTGTGGTCCAGGGTCACATATTTGTAATTAATATTGCAATTAATATTAACATAATTTGCAATTAATACTGTAGGTTATTTTTATCTCTATGTACAACATTTGCAGCATGCTGTCGGTTACTACAAAATAATGACTCGTTCTTCAGTTTGTAAAACAGCAAAATTATTATTTTAACTATTATTATAAAGCATTACCACTTTCATTAATGTATAATATATACAGTATTATATAAAAATAATAGTTCATACTTTTAGTAAAATGATAATTTAATTACTGCTATATTACTATTATTACTTGTTTAAAACATTACCAATATTTTTAAATTTACAATATTATACAAAATAATACAATATTATACCAAAATAATATTTAATATTTTAATAATATTTATAGTGGTCATACAGAGGAGAAGTGGTTTGGAGAATGGATGAATGGATAATATTTTATAGTTTAATATTATTATTATTATTATTATTATTTGGTAATACTCTCAGTAAATCAATAGAGTGTTTTCTAATAGCTCCATTTAATTCTAGCAACTCCGTTTGAACATTTTTTTAATCTTTTCCTCAGAATTCTCCCCAAAATCAGGCCACAAACTCTGTAGATCCTGCTCTGCTAAGAAAAAAGGCCAATAGTCTGTTGTGCAAGACTCAGATCTCAATTCTCACATCATGACAGAGAAGCTGGACCCAAATATTTTTTCCAAACTTCTAGTCCCTGTTTAATGTACCTCTCTACACCACAGTGTTTAAGGATGTTAAGAAGAGTTAGGGAGGAAAAAACACACATTCTTTGGCAGGGGAAGAAAACACAGTTTGAGATGCCATAATCAATTTCCACGCAGAGAATGAGGCATTGTCAGGAACCTGGCCATGTTTTGAAGGTACAGTGCAGTAACTGCATTCATTCTGAATCCAGACAGAACCAACTATCACAGACACATGAGTCTAATTACCTCTGTAGGCTGACAACACAGTGCAGACTCTGTTGAGTGACTACAGGGTTTGACCCATATTTCAAAAACATACCTACAGACATACGTAATTGAGATGAGCCCCTCCTGCTTTCCTCCCCAGCGCTGTTGTTTAGTGCTGGCTGCTGCTCTGTCCTGCTCGCACTCACTATCAGACAGAACTTTTTCCCTGAACACTCTGTAAAAGAGGATGTTTTGGATGATATCATAGTTTCTGTCCTCGGGACATATTTTGAACACACATTTTGTAATATCTTTTGGTATCTTTTTATTTTCTAAACATGCATATTGAAATGCGAGCACATATGTGTAGTGAAGCACACATATAAAGTGTTTTTATACATGGCAGCATACAATGAGAGTATGTGTATGTGTGTGTCTGTGGATCCGCACGAAAGGTCCACTGCTCTAGTCTGTGGGTCTCTGAGAGTTCAGTGGGGGCAGCTCTGGAAAGCCGGGGGCTTAGGCGTCAGGAAATTAAACATGAAATGTAAACAAACTCCAGCCTGAACATTCTCCCCTTTCACTTTCTAACATCCTTATTTCCCTTCAGATTTTGAGTTTGAAGAAGAAGAAAAAGAGCGAAGGAGAAAGTGCATCTGAGAATGAAAAAAACCCCAGAAAAGTTGTAGATACAAACTCAGATAATACGGTTAATTTGCAGTTCTGAGAAAAAAAGACAGGATTGCAAGATATAAACTCACAATTGTGAGAAATAAAGGCAGAATTGCAAAATGTTAACTCTCAAGATATAAACTCACAATTGCGAGAAATAGTCAGAATTGTGAGTTGTTAACTCAAAATCGCAAGATATAAAATTGCAACTCGGAATTCTAAGAAAAAAAAAGTCAGAATTGCGAGATGCTAAATGGCAAGATATAAAAAAAGTCAAAATTGCAAAGTGTTAACTCGCGTGATTATAAACTTGCAACTGCACAAAATAGTCAGAATTGTGTTATACATTTGCAATTTTGGGAAGAAAGTCAGAATTGCAAGATGTTAACTCAAAATTGCGATTGCAAGAAATAAAGTCTGAATTGTTATAAACTTGCATTTGAGAGAAACAAATCAGAATTGCGAGATGTTAACTCAAAATTGAAAGATGAAACTCGCAATTATGAGAAATAAAGTCAGAATTGTGTTATAAACTTGTATTTGTGAGCAAAAAAAAAGTTAAAATTGCGAGATGTATATACTTGGAATTGTGAGAAATAAAGTCGGAATTGTGAAATTAAAAGTCACAATTACCTTTTTACTTTCTTACTGTGCTCCAAAAATTGGCTTCCTTACTTCTTTCTGTCTCATATAGTGCCTTACAGTCTTCTCAGCTGGTTTAGTTTAGTCATTAAACCAAATGTTTAAAGTAAAAAAGATTTACATTGTTAAATGTCCTTCAATTCATCTTCAGCACATTTCCACCCTTGTAGAGGAAAGAGGAACAACATACACTAAGAATACAGATGCTGCTCGGGTCATTGATCTTTGGTCATTATCTCTGATTGCTCTGAATTTCGTAGACCAAGGAAAAACAATAGAAATGTCCAAAGAGACAGGGATTAAATTACAAAGATTCCCAAAACAGATGACATAATGATCATAATGGCACTTGGATGTCAGGAGCAGGCCATGACATCGGCCTGAAAGATCAAATTACTTCATATACAAATGGCTCCTAGAGGACAACTTAAGCTAATTCAAGCAATATATTTTGTAGCTCAAATAAAGAAAAGTGGAAATGCACTGCATCTTTTGTAACTTTTATGGTTCCTCATTCTTGTGATTGCAGCGTGCCATACTCTGTTACCCTGCCATAATATGTCAAGGGCTCTTGGGGCTTATGGAAACTGTAATGTGATTGGACAGAGATACTGTATATCCCACAATACAAGTTGTATGGAGTGGTATGGAGAGATTGATGCTGCCCTTTTGAAATAGTCAGTGAAAGCATACTCATGCATAAATGCATAACTGCTTAAATATGGGAGTCATATTACATCCATAAATAACACACCAGAGACAAATCCATGAGTTAATATCTGTTTGGTCCAATGGTGATTGTGGAGACCAGTTTTTATAAATCAACAGCAAATTGTCATCTCAAAACATTATGTTTTACTGACGTTTGAAGAGTGTGTGTGTGTGTGTGTGTGTGTGTGTGTGTGTTTCATTTGGGTAAAAAATAGAAACAAGCCTTTTCTATCATAATGTGAAGTGACAGGAATGGCTGAAGGAGAATCTTGACAGGATCATATTGGAAAAACAAACATCTGTAATATAAATTCATGGAATCTCTCATCTGAACACAACAGACGCATGTCTGTTGTAGACTTTACTTTGCAGTTTACAAGTCAATAATAAGTAAATAATGAATGAGATCATGTAAATGTCAGAAAATGACTTTGTTCTACTGAAATATAGCAAAATACTGAACTCCAACCATTTGTGTATCGTCCTCTATTGTTATATTATCAAAATTTCATGGTGCTAAATTTATACAGATGTACTGTATATATTTTTTTAAATATATATATATATATTTAAAAAATGACCTTTACTTACAAATCGTACTATGTAGAAACATGTCTGAGAGCACTCAGCTGTGGTTTGGGGTTGTTGGTTTGTGTCACGGTGCACTAACAGCGGATCAGAACTGGCCTCATTGTGATTGATGAGGTGGACCTGCTCCAGACGTAAGCGAGGCCAGACCCACTGGCTGAGCAGCTATCAAAGAGCAGAGCCCCAACCTGTGCTGGCAGGGGAGAGTTCAAATCCATGCATAAATAGTGCAGTGTGGACAGCACATTAAAGATGTCAGCTGAGGAGCCGTGGCATGGCTTTCATGTGCCTCACGATTTATGGCTTTGCATGTGCTCAGGTTTTCACTACAAGTCACTAGAGGGAGAATCCAGTTCTCAGTAGATAGACTTTTTAATAACATTCACCATTATAAGCAACATCAATAATTTTCATTTTCAGTACCAATACAGAAACAGCATGAAGTTTATACAACAAAATGCACAATGTATTCACTCCAAATTCTTGGGCTTTTGCAGACAGATATTTCAAATAATCAGATATTTGGCTCATTTCCTGCAGGTGTGGTTTCAGAATCGCCGGGCTAAATGGAGAAAAAGAGAACGCTTTGGTCAGATGCAGCAGGTTCGAACACACTTCTCAACAGCATATGAGCTTCCTCTTCTTACACGACCAGAAAATTATGCACAGGTAAAAGGAAAATTTGTACTACCAATCATAGATTTCTATTTATATACAAATGTAGTTGATTAAGTTTAGAAATTACAATTTGATGCTTATTCTTTAAAAAATTTATATGATGTGCAGCTGAATCACAGCTGTGCAGTTGTTTTGTTCCTGAATGAATTAATGTTTTTGAATGAAACAGTTGAGTGAATAGTTCAGTGGCTCACTCATAAAGACAGAGAATGTAACCTTTTGAGTAAGTTAAAAAAGTAAAAAAAAAAAAGTATATTCTATATACAGTAGTATGAATGTTTATAGCATATGAATGAAATCCGGATATATAAATACGAATTAGGTCATCCGGGTACTTTTTTCCTACTGTTTTATGAATACTGTGGATTTGGCCATTCTAGTCATTTCACACGCACACACACACACACACACACACACACACACACACATATATATAGTAGGGAAGTATGTATATTAGACACTTGTGAATGAATCAGCATTATGAACGAATCGTTTGAGTGAATGATTTAAATGACTCACTCATAAAGTACTTGTCAATCACCTACTGTCACTGAAAGAAAGTGGAGTGATACAAACAGTGAAAAGTTCCAGTGCTGTTTGGACTGTATATGAGTGTTCTTGGAACTAACTGTTGTATAATTGTATTTTTTAATTCACATTAACTCAGGGATTAAATGTGTTTTTCTTTGTTTATTTATTTCTTTATTTTTTAGATTCAGAACCCATCTTGGCTAAGTGGCAGCAGCGCAGCCTCACCAGTGCCCGGCTGTGTGGTACCTTGTGATACTGTAGCTTCCTGTATGACCCCTCACCCTCACTCTGCTAGTGGTGTGTCTGATTTCCTTGGTATGCCAAGTCCGGGTGGGAACATGGGACAGACACGTATGGGCAGTCTTTTCGGCAACTCGGGAGTGGGTGGAATCATTAATGGATTTGATCTCAGCATTGAACCAGATCACAAATCCTCCAGCATCGCCAGCCTGCGGATGAAGGCAAAGGAGCACAGCGCCACAATCACATGGGCCACATGATGCCTTCATCTGGGACACAGAAGACCAGACAACCTCAGCCTTAAGCTGTCAGCACTAATGAGGTGAAAGTTTATGCCATCTGGAGCCAATATGAACATGAGAAATGGAGGCTAGAAATTTTAAAACACTTGTAAGAGATTTAATTTTGAAGTTTTTTAGAGGAAGTGGATTGTGCATTGGGACTTTGAGCTTGAATGTGTGGAAACCGACAAGCCTGTTTTAAAAAGGAGACTGTTTTATGAATATACTGACTTCACATGTATTGCTATTGGAAAAAATCAGTATGTACTATTTTCCCCCATCAATTACCAGACATATACACTACTGTTCAAAAGTTTGGGGTAGGTAGGATGTTTTTTTGTTTTTTTTTAATAAGCCTCTTGTGCTAATTAAGGCTGTATTTATTTGATCCGAAATACAATAAAAACAGTAATATTGTGAAATATAACTGAAATTTAAAATAACTGTTTTCTATTTTAATAGATTTTTAAAAAATATGATGGCAAAGCTGAATTTTCAACAGCCATTAGTCCAGTCTTCAGTGTCATATGATCCTTCAGAAATCATTCTAATATGTAGATTATCAGTGATGCAAAAAAAAAAAAATATATATATATATATTGTAACATTATAGATGTCTTTACTGTCACTTTTGATAAATTGAATGGATCCTTGCTGAATAAAAGTATTAATTTCTTTTTAAACATATCTTACTGACCCCAAACTTTACAATGTAAGAACAAAATTGGTTTTACACGAGGTTCTGAAATAAATGGTGCCAGTAGTGAATCTTAGAGGGATAGCGTGTGTGCGTCTGTGTGCTCGTTTTGGGTCACACTGACTTTCTTTGCATGGACAAAAACACTGAAACACACAGAAACATCATATAGGTTTAAAATGACAAAAGGGTGAGCAAATGATAACAACATTTTAATTTTTGGGTGAATTATCCCTTTAAGCCTTTCAAATAAATGGTAAATAAACATGATTTGTGTAATCAAAGTCACAGCAGTAAAAGTGCTCCACATAGAACATAATATTAGATAAAATAGCAAATTTGCACTTAGCTTCATGAAAGCTTGCTGGATCAAAATGTTTGACATTTTATCTGATTTATTTGAATTAAATACCTGAACAGGACACATTGTTGTCAGTGATTGGTTTTAGTAAGGCTTAGTAAAGAAGATGTCTCTGGCATCGGTTATTATGCACTAGGCTTAAACAGTTCACTAAGGATGGGCCAGAATATAGAGGCATAATAAAACAAGAAGAACAAGTGCTTCCCATTCTATGTGAGACATTTTGCAGGGAGCAGAATTCTGTACCAGCCAAAGAGCACACCTAATAGATCCAGACGAGGTGATAGCAACTCTATATAAGCCAATGAAGCATCAGGTTTTGTTCTCTTCATTCTTGATATGACATTCTTTAATCACAGCCACATTCTCTAAAACAGAGGTAATAGGGCATTGTTTCCAGACAAATGCTGGAATGTTATGTTTGTATTGTGTTTGAGGGACACGGCTCTATCGGCTGGAACATAAGCCTAACTTCATTCATTTCCTGGCTCGATGCAGCATTAGGCCCTCGCACCAGCATAGGTTTATTTTCTCCCGCTGCTGGGTGGGTCAACATCCAAAACCTCTGCTTCTTTTCCACATGGGATTCTGGTTATCACGAAGTGTGAGAAGAGACACTAGGTTTGGCGCCATTAGGGTTCACTAGCCAATACTGTGCTGCAAAATGATTATTTTTTTGTAGTTTTTGGCTTTTTATTAGATGCTGACAGAAGTAAATTCAAGCTTTCCTTTAAATTTATGATTAATTGACCCAGTTGATCCCTCTCAGTCACATTTTATGAGACTATTTTTTAACATCTGAATGAAAACCGACTGTTGGCGAAAAAGACAACGCAGCAAAAGGGGAGTAAACAGTAGATCTTAATTGGTTAAAGCTACACTATGTAACTTTTTGTTTGAAATTAACAAAATTTAAATAATGAGTGAGTACATGAAACCATCATCCAAACCCTGTTTTTGCCTCACCCTGATGTCACCCTACATCATGATATTCATAATTTCATGTAATTACAAATTACCAAAATATTCACATAATTACCAATTAACATTGTCCCTCCACAGGTAACTTGTAGTTTATGTTTCACCCACTAGTTTATGCTTCAACATAGTGTAGCTTTAAAGACTCATTCTGTAAATCAATGGAAAAAAGTGCTCGACAGACTTCCTGATTGAGATTAGCTAGAACTTTGTTGAATTTCAAGTTCAAAACTCGATTGGTCTTTCCAATTCTAAATGTTGGAAACAATGTAACAGAGAGAGGTCAGTGTTCTGTATTCAGAGAGGGCATAACAATGTGGCTCCATTGTTCCTTTATTAGTTCCTCAGTTTAAATACTACTGAGATATGCAGTTAACTATAATCATCAGTTCTTTGTGTTTGTACAGCATGCACTTTGGATAATACAATGATTTGCTTCCTATGTGTGTTTGAAATTTATTAATGATATAGTTTTCCTGGTTTTGCTGTTATTCTTGATAACATAACTAATTTTCTTTTGTAAAATCATCATTAAATTCCATCCTGCAAATATTGTACAAGTTTGTACTGTATATGTGTCATGAAATTCAAGTCTGTGTAAAATACAAAGCATTTTATCCATTTGTGTCATGTTGTTGCTGTATAAAATAATCTTGAAATATATTCAATTAAAATGATTATGGGAATACTTACAATCAACTAACATTTAAACATGCGTTACAAAAAGTTTTTACTTTATTCTACTTGAGAAGACAGTTTGCATTTTAAAGGGATAGTTCACCCAAAAATTAAAATTTGATGTTTATCTGCTTACCCCCAGGGCATCCAAGATGTAGGTGACTTTGTTTCTTCAGTAGAACACAAACGGAGATTTTTAACTCAAACCGTTGCAGTCTGTCAGTCTTATAATGGAAGTGAATGGGAATCACGGCTTTGAGAGTCAAAAAAACATACACAAACAAAACCAAATTAAACCCTGCGGCTTGTGACGATACATTGATGTGTAAAGACACGAAACGATCGGTCTGTACAAGAAACTGAACAGTATTTATATTGTTTTTTACCTCTGATGCACTGCAATGTCTGAACTGTCCTGAGCTCGTTCTCAGATGCTTCTTCTTCTTCTTGCTTTACGGCGGATCGCAGACTTATAAGTGCATTACCGCCACCTATCTCTCAAATGGACCATTGACCCTCCTAATTGAGATTGTAGATGGAGTGTCAATGGTCCATTTGAGACATAGGTGCCGGTAATGCACTTATAAGTCTGCGATCCGCCATAAAGCAAGAAGAAGAAGACGCGAAGACTGTAACAGTTTGAGTTAAAAATATCCATTTGTGTTCTACTGAAGAAACAAAGTCACCTACATCTTGGATGCCCTGGGGGTAAGCAGATAAAGATCACATTTTCATTTTTGGCTGAACTATCCCTTTAAACTCACAGAGTGACAAAGGTTATTATTTTCAAGTCATACCCATTTTTGTGCTGTGGCTAGTTTATGGCTAATTGTTTTGGGTTTAATTTATAACCTAAAATACAGAAATAATGGCAGTAAATCATTTGAATGCATGCATTTCTATATACAAACTTCTCTCACGGCAAAAAACTGCATTAGTCAGCTGAACCAGAAAAGGGGTGTGGAAAGAGGAAGAGAATGATTTACATGCAAATTGCTCCTCAGCAAATGAACAGTCCCCAACAACCAAGGATTGGACTTTATTCCAAAGAGTTGAAACTGCTTTGCAATAGGATCCTATTTTTAATCCATTATATTTCTAACACAAAATGGCCATAGAGAAATTCAACACATTGCACATGGAAATTTGCACCTGCATGTCAAGTAGGTCATCTAATGGCAAGAATGCCTATTGAAATTTAACAGACAGACAAAATTTGGATAGACTGTAATTCTATTTACTGTATTTGTCATGTTTAAAGCATGAAAAGGGCAGTGGTCCTTCATTCCATTCTTAAAAGTTGTTAGAAAACAACTTATAAGATAAAATGCGCACAAACTACATAAAACAAGCATTTCACAGACTGAGCACCAGAGTTCAACATATTTCACAGGACTAAGAAGCAAACTTTGTCTTCTTCTGCATTGAGCAACAGTTTTGGTCTGCATCCAGAGCTGTAAGGATACAGCCAACACAATGCTTGTCACCCAATAAAACCTCTGCTGGGACCTGACAGCCTTCCAGATGAGGCTGGAGCTCTCCCAAATGAATCCATCAGGGAAGAAGTCTGGCACTCACACAACCCATTTTTACTTTCTCAATCCATGAACAGTCCGATCCCTTCACACTTCTTACATTTCTGGCAGAGTTTCAGTCCCTTGGGCTTTGCTAAACTTTCTCCATCTCACACGCACAAACAGAAAAACAAACGCATGTCAGGAGACAAAGATAAACGAGTTTATAACTGAAGAAAAAGTGTTGCGTGATACAATGCAGAGAATGGGAGAAAATTGCATCAAAAAACCCTCGGTAAAATATGGCAGGTTGGTTCTATAGCAGTAAAATACTGGCACCTTTATTTGCTGCTTAATCCACCAGATCACATGATTTAAATCGAAACGACACACTGTCCGCTCTGATTCTCCCTCACGCATCCAGCTACACTGGGGCTGGTTGCCATGGTGTCTGATTTCACACGTGCTTCAGAACGCGGTCACGCAGGGGCGTTTCCAAAGCGATCTCGACGCAGCGTCTGGTTCCCTCAGGGAACCATGGTTACATACGTAACCTAGAGATGATTTCCATGATCCATTAACCATGACAGATCTTTTTGGATTTTTCAGAAGACTTCAAATGCTGACAATCTGCAAAAGAATGTGTTCATATTACAGGTTTGAGTTCTCTTATGTGTTTATTTGCTCCTAGAGATTTTGTTCACTGTCAATTTAATTTAGCCTACATGATTTTACCTTGCTTGTGCTGGGAAATTATGTTTCATCTCACAGCCACATGAGGGCGGCAGACATATTTTCTCTGCAGATTTAATCTCAAAAACAGAGGACTTCACAAAAGCAGCAAACCTGGGCTGTATCTACACAGACATGCATTTTATTAGAATTGTATTATAATGTTAACCACATGCGTTTTACCCTTTTTTGCCACAGCCAACCACAGATGATATTGTCTGTCTTTCTCCTTGTTTGGCATATAGTTCTTTCTTCATAACTATCAAAATGACTAGAGACATTCAAACTTACTCCTACTCTGCAAATACTTCTCTTCAACGCTG